CTTTGAGTTCTGGCCAGAAAGGGGGCAGCAGTTACTGGCCTCAGACCTCTAGTGGCGGGAGGAGAGGAGTGGAGAGGGTGTGAGCCTGAGCAAGACTGGGCCTGCACTGTGGAATGCCTCAGGACCCGAGAGGGGTGGGAGGCAGTAAGTGGGTGTGGTCCAGGTATAAATATGCCCCTTCCCAGCTGCTTTCTCTGACTGTCATCCCAGGGGAGGATTCACTCATAAGGGACATGTATGGAGCCTCGTGGGTGCAGTTTGGGACCTGGTGGTACCTTCCCTGGGGGAGCTGACCCTTTAGGCATCCCATAAGGGACATGATGGGACACAGGGCCCTCTCAGCTCTCAGCAATGTGAGGCTCAGCGTGCCTTCCTCTCCAGGACTGGGCCAGGACTTCTCTCGGATTCTCATAGCAACGTCACAGAGCTGCAGGTTAAGGAGGGAAGGGGTGGAGGAGGAGTATCCAGAGGGCCAGGGGAAGCTAGAAGCAAACTTGAATAAACTGCTCTCATGCCAGGTCTTGTGTGTTCCAAGATTCCACTGCTGCCTAAGGAGCTTTTCAGCAGGGAGCATTTGTTTACTCAACGAACAATTATTGAGCACTTACTATATGCCTGAATCTTGGCAAAGCCCTGGGATAAGAGATGAATAAGACAGTCCAGGGGGGAGGTGGCCACATGAGCAGGTAGTGCAACAAAGAAGGGAGGAAGGTATCTGCTCTCCCCAGAGGTACAGGCTGTCCAGGCTTCAGGGATAAGAGGTATTAGGGGATAAGAACATGAGGGGCTCCATCTTTGGCAGGAGGAGGCTAGCTAGGAGGATTGAGCTGGGAGGGGCACCTCCTGAGTCCAGGTGAGGAATCAGCCTGGGCACTTTGCTCCTAAAATCCATTTCTATTAGAGCTGGGCCTTTCTGATGTGCTGCGGGAACACAGGCCTGGGTAGGAGGTTAGGGAGCAGGGAAAAGGGGTGGGGGATTCAGTCACTCTAAGTAGCTAAGGGCTAGATTGACCATCTCTAGGTTCCTTGAGAGCCCTGGACATGGGGCAGCAGGCAGTGGGAAGGGTCATAGCTGCTGGCAGTGGGAAGTGGGGTGAGCCTTGCCCTTGGCCCTCCAAGCTCCCATTGGATAGAAGATACAGGGATTCTGAGATCCCTGTAGGTGGAAGGAGTTCTTGTTTGTACCACAGCTCAAAGGGGTCCTTGTTCAGGCTGGAGCCAGCCACCCCCAGAGGGCTGGGCCAACCCACATCTCCTTCAGAGCAACTAGCTCTCCCAGTTTGTTTAGTTCTTTGAGTATGAAAGATAAAGCATTGTGGGGGGATCTGATCTGGGGAACCCCACTCCCCAGAAGGGTCTCTGCATCATTATCTCGGACTAGGAGATTCCCTGCTTCTCCCTCATTCCCTACTACTGAATGGGACCTTCGGGGAGAGCCGGGGCTGGCCCCCTGCAGCCGTCTATAGAAGGGTAGATTCCAGGGCCCTCCAGCCTTCTAGCAGATGCCATGGTAGAATAAGTGAATACTTTCAATTTGACTGAAATTTGAATTCAAGCTCTGTGACTTTCATTTATGTAGTCAGGAGCAAGGTATTTTAGCTCTCTGGACCTCAGTTTCCTCACTGTATAAGGGAGACCATACCATCTCCCTTACAGAACTAGAGCTGAACTGAGGATGACAGGGGTTCATGAGACAAATCTGTTTGCCTCCTTTCTCCCAGGGGTTCCTTGGGCTACTAGGGCTTGACTTGCTTTAAACATTCTCCAGCGTCTTCTTCCCTTCCAGGACCTTAAGACTGTGAATTTAAGGTGGACCCCAGGTTTGGGTGTCAGATGGCCCTGCATGGAGTCCTAACCCTGCTAGTGACCGAATCTCCATTTTCCACCTGTGACCTGTCACTAGCTCCCCCACCCCATGTTAAAGGCCTGAATGATGTCACATGGGTGCCCTGACTCTGGTTTTGGGAAAATGGGGTGTGAGCTGGCCACAAGCTGGCTGCAAGTATTGAGGCCCTGGAAGCAGAATTGAAAGTTAATGAGCAGCCAAGGGGAGTACATGCTCTTTGCTCTCCCCTAATCTGGGGGCATGGCCCACAGCCTCCCTGCTTCCCTCTTTGCTGTCTCCCTTTACTCTACACCCAGTCTCCCTGCACACCCAGCATTCTGCTCCAACACACCCGCCGAGGGTCCTGCTTCTGCACAGCTCTGGCTGCCCACCTCCCATCTCCTTTTCCTGTTAGGACTCATTAGGAAGGGATGTGATTGCCGGCTCATTTTCTCACTCTGATGAGAGTGAGAAAGTAGGCTTGCGGATGGCTTTGCTTGGGCCTGGAGCACACCAATGAGTCCGTCCACCATGGGACCAAAGTGACGTGGTACCAACTGCAGTGTCTGGGGAAGCAGGCTCGGGCCTCCACATCCTCTTTCATTGCCAGGATGCCACAGTTGTAAAGGGAAGCTCAGCCCATTCCCGGCAGCTCAGCCCATTCCAGGGGTCATTGGTCCAGCTCCTGGCAAGTCAGAATTGTGACTGTGCTTAGAGCCTGCCCATCCCCGCCACTTTTTCCAGGAATAGTGAACTGCACAACCGGATTAGGAACCAGTCAGTGGCTCCCAGCTCATCCCCAACCCCCTCACACTCATTATGGAATTCAGTTTTGGGATTTTCTCCTTAAGTTATCAGAAAGGTTATAGCTGTTGTCTTACATATGGAATATCAGCTTAGAAAGTTGAAAGTGAATGCCTCCCCGGTGGCGCAGTGGTTGAGCGCTGGGTTGCGAAGCTGCCCGCGGCCTCTGCGACGCCGGTTCGATCCCCGGCTGCTCCCCGGCCACCAGAGGAGGGTCCCACATGGCGCGCAGACCTCTCCTGCTGCCCGCTGCTCCCCTCAGCAGTGTGCTTTGGTCCTTCTGCCTGCTCTGCTCCCCGCTCTGGCTCTGGTGAATTCTCTCACCCTCCCGTGCTTCTGACTGTACCCAGTGCTTGTATAAACAAAACAAACAAACAAACAAACAAATAAATAAAAACATGCCTCTATAAAAAAAAAAAAGTTGAAAGTGAGGTACAGGGTCTTGGAAGTGTGGAGATGACAATCGTAGAATGATTTCTTGCAAAGGAAGGAAATGACCTTTTTTTTTTAAAGATTTATTTATTTATTTATACAAGCAATGGGTACAATCAGAAGCGCGGGAGGGTAAGAGAATTTGCCAGAGTGGGGAACAGAGCAGGCAGACTGACGAGATACACTGCTGAGGGGAGCAGCGGGTGGCAGGAGAGGTCTGCACGCCATGTGGGACTCTCGCCTGGCGGCCGGGGATCGAACCAGCGCTGCAGAGGCTGCGGGCAGCTTCACAACCCAGCGCTCAACTTCTGCGCCACCAGGGGAGACCCAGGAAGGAAATGACATTTTATCTTCAAGTTTGTGTGCTCATGATGACCCTGACTAGAGCCACACTATTCTACCTTTCCCTTTGGGAGAGAAGGGTTTTGTGACTCAGTTTCTGGGCTGTGTGTTGGGCTTATGGCCCTGAGAGAAGATAGGGAAGCCCCCAGGAAGGACAGTGTATTTCAGAGCCTGTCTGTCACGTGCGTGCGCGCTGCCGGCCTTCTTGCTTCTTTGACACAAATGTGCTGTGTGAATGTGCTCAAGAGATGGGGGGCTCCATATTAATGGTGTTAAGGGCAGGGTCCTAGACCCAGAATCCAGGTGCAAAGATTTGCCTTGACAACCAGGCGGTTTCTTCTCCCCTGAGCCACAGGAAAGACATCCTGGGCAGGGCGCATCCACCGTTTCTTACCACTGGCTACGGGGTTAAAATCACCTGAGAGTCTTGAGAAGCCTGTGGCTGAAGAGCTACCTGCTTTATGACCCAACAATTCCAATCCTGAGTGTTTACTCATAGAAGTGTATGTACTTGTGTCCACGAGACAGGTATTGGAATGTTCTTAGCAGCACTTTTGTAACAGGTGAAAACTGGAAATGGCATTTTTGTAGTGTGTCCAAGTAATGGAATTCCAAACCCCAATGGAAGCGCAGTTTACGACTACACACGAGACTGCGACCCAGTCTCACCAATGGGTTCCCCAGAAAAAGAAGCCACCTAAGAACAGGCAGTGCACGATTCTGTGTTGCCAGAGGCCAGAGGCCAGTGATCCTTGAGATGGGGATAGAGGGGGGCAATGAGACTGGCAGGAGCAGGAGGAGCATCTGAGGGGCTAGGTTCCAGGCATTGGGAAGTGCACTGACTCTTACTCTTACTTTATATGCATTTTTCTATTTGAAATTATTTGTAATAATTTGTTAAAAATATCTAGCTGCTTAAATGTCACCTCAGAAATTCAGATTTAATTGGTCTATGACAGGGCTCAGATATTCTTTGTTTCTTTAAAAAGCTCTAGAGATGATTCTAATGTGTATCCCACAGGCTGCACGTTAGAGTTAGCAGGATGCAATCTTCTCCCTCAAGTGGGAGGGGAGCTGGGTGCTGAGTGAGAGGTGGAGTTTGGAAAACTGGGGGTACCCAGAGCAGCTGCTGGAGAGGCACCCAGCTCTAGGCTGCTGAGCCCCAGTGACCAACATTCCTTCCAGGACATGTCCACTCAGTGTCCTGTCCCTGAAGGGGTAATTCTGTGATCTCTGCTGCTAAGAGGCATGTTTTTGTGTGTGTGTGGAGAAGTTCCCTTCTTGGAGCTCACTAGGCCCTGAAGTCCTGGCTGGCCACAGGAGAGGGTGGAGCTGACCTTGGACCTGGCTTTGAGCAGAGCTTGTGGAAGCCACAGGATGCTCTAGTATGTCAGATGTCCAATAGAAGTCAACTTGGGAGAGTGTGGGTGCCTCCCTGGAACCCGCCTGTGACCAAGACCCAGCTGGCTCAGGCTGCCAGCCCAGCCCAGCTTTTTGCTTCTGCTTCAGTGCCAGGCTTGCTCCTGCCAGCAGCTTGGAGTTGCTCTGGAGGGAGGCTTGCCCTGTGGTTAGGAAGGGCTGGGTTTGGGGGAGGGAGATGGGTAAGCTGGAGGAGTGTTGCCAAGCTAGTGACAACCCAGGGTGTGCCGCCGAGCGAACACTGCAATTGAGGTAGGGCAGGCCCAGCCTGTGCTTTCTCCCACATACCCCATCCCATCCTGTCTGGGCCATTTATCTTTCCTATATGTCTTCTGCCTCCCACCTGAGTTCCACATTTGATCAGTCAAGCATGAGGATTGAGGATTGAGTGATGTGGGGCCAGGGCTACCTGCTTACCCCACAGACTAGGGCTCCTGGAGGGAAGGGCCTGTCTCTGGATGACCCTCATTAGTTCATGTCCACCACCCCCTCCTCCCCTCCCTGCAGGGTGTCAATTATTCTGTGTCCCTTCACTTTTATTGCCTTGCTTTTTCTGTCCCCTCCTATCTCCTGGAGAATCATCATCTCTTTCTGTCTGTCCTTTACTCATTCTTTTAGCAAGCACTGGGTGCCTACTGTGTGTTGGGAATAGAGCTGTATGACACACTTGGTGGACCTCAGAGTCAATTGGGGGTGACAGAAGATTAACAGACAAGCAGGTATGTAACAAGCACAGGCTGGTGTAAGGAGTGTGGTAGGAGGGATCATCTAGGAGGGGTGACCAGCTCAACAGGGGCACACCAGGAAGGACTTTACAGAGGAGGCAACATTTGAACTAGGGCCTGGAAGATGACCTAGAATTTCCCAGATAGATAAATGTGGAAAGGAATTGCAGGTAGAGCAAGCATGCAGGCATGAGGGCTACTGTGGTGAGGAAGCACAGATATGTAAGGGCAAGAAAGGCTAGAGGTGGGTTGAGTGTGGGAGCTGCTGCCAACTTCCAAAAAAAGGATGATGGTGGCCTGGTATGTCCCGTGTAGCAGGGGTGGAGAAAGTAGATGGTAGCGTGAGGTGAGTGTGGTAAGGTTTTCGGAGACTTGGAGACTGATTTGGCTGTGGGGGTGGGGAAGAGAATGAGTTGAGGATTCTGGCTTGGCTCCCTGTGGAGGGTGGAGTCTGTCAGGGATATCGATGCTCAGAAGGAAGCCGATTTGGGGGTTGATGCTGAGTTCACTTTGATGGATAAATCTAGAGGCAAGTCTGACATTTAGGAGGAGATGGAGGGTCAAGGTTAGAGCTGGAGATTTGGAAGTGCCTGCCTTGGGGAGGCTTCCAGATCAGATTGCACAACTGTGGTGTCCCCTGAGGTCCAGTCCATGGGGTCTGCAGAGGCAGTGCAACTTGCATCTCTGGGGTCCCTCCTCACTGCCTCTCTCTCTTCTACCTTCTGTGTCTTCTCTTTTGAAGGATCTAGATCCACTCCTGATATCTCTGGTACTGGCTGCCCATCCTGCCCTCTCAGCCACCCCTCAGACTGGGCAGGCCCATACTGGGCTCATGGTGTGATAAGCTCAGTAAGTATTTGTGGAACGAATAAAGGAATGGCAGTGACCTGCGTTCCTGCACCAGTCAGCCACCAGGCGCCTGTGTTCTCTGGAAAGACCTTCCTGCTTCAGGCAAGGCATGAAAGGGCCTTGTTGGAGGAGTTTTCCAACCTTTTCTGTCTTCCTTAATGTTACAAACTACTGGATCCCCTGCTCTGTTCTCCTGAGAAGGATGTTTTTTGTGGCTTTGGCTGAAAAAAAAAAAAGAAAAAAAGATCTGGATTTGGGAAACTTGCTGCTAACTCCACAATCTGGATGTGGAGGTAGGAGGTGTCATCCACAGCCCAGAGTATGAGCAGCTAAGTCCTGAAAAAAGTCTATGTGGAAATGGACGGAGATTGCCAGGGAGATGCAGGCAGGTTGAGCAGGCTGGTTCCCCGCTCTGCAGCTCCCTCCTGGCTTTCGGGTCAGGGCCCAGATCATCCTTGGGTGTTCCCATCTGATACTTTCTGCTGGTGTGTGTTCAGCAACCTTGCTACCCAGACCTTTTTGTCTGGTGTTTCTTTATTTTCATTCATCTAAACAAACACTACAGGGGAAAAGATGAATTGGCAGCAAGAAGATAACTGCATTGAAGATAACTAAAAGCAGTACATTTCCACCACAGGCCCCTGTTGCTCTATATCAGCAGCATTGTCAAGACAACCAGAGGGACTGGCTTAGTGGGTCAAAAGAAAGATGTGGCTCATAACCATCACACCTAAAGGGGCTGCTTTTAATTGAAAGGTACTTGAAAGTCATTTTTGAGTCCTGTCAATGGCCATGATTTTCTCTCTGGAGATGCTGTGGGAAACGCACCCAGCATTTTGCTATTCCCCTGGTCTCTCTCTCTCCAGCCTATCTTCTTGACTTCCCGTAAACTGTCTTTACATTCCTCCAATGTGTCTCAAGTGCTTGCTCAAGTGTCTCCAGTGTGTCTCAAGGCTAACCTTGCACCAGGTTCATGTGGGGAGCAGGGAAGAGGGGGGAGGTCAGGGATGGAAGAGACAGAGTCCCTGACATCCTGGAGCCCCTGGAGATGGATAGTTGGAGCACACTGACAGTGTGACCGGAGCCATTAGGGTGCTGTTGGGCCTGGGCTCTTTGTCTAGGCTTGGCACCCCTCCCTGAGAAAGCCACATTTGGAGCTAAGAGATAAGGATGAGTTTGATTCAGAATCCATGCAAAAATATGATTTTCCATGCAAGATTAGATTATGTAATCCAGCGAGATTTGGTTAAAGCACAGTTGCTGTGACTTTCTTTTTTTCAAAAGATTTATTTTTATTTATGCACACAAGAACTAGGGTGTAGGTCAGAGGCGTGGGGGTGAGAGGATTCACCAGAGATAGAGTGGGGAACAGAACAGGCAGATCTACTGAAATACACTGCTGAGGGGAGCAGCAGGTGAGACAGGAGAGGTCTGCTGCACCCTATGTGGGTTAGCTCCTTGGCCTGGATGAACTCATGCTGCAGTGGCTGGCAATAGCTTGATAGTGCTGAGACTTTAACCCCTGTACCATCAAGGAGACCCCAGTTTCTGTGACTTTCTCCGAGCTTCTAAGCTCTGAGAACCACAGGCCAACTTCCTTCTCTTAGGGGTCCAGACTGGAGTGTGTGTTCCTTAAAGCAGAGCCCATTTCATCTCTTCCTGGTGGCTGAGTGGACTCCTGGGCTCAGGGCTCAGTGGTTTCTTGTACCTGCTTCTCCTTCCCTAAGGAGGCCTCTCCTGTCAGAGCACCCAGTTCACACTAGGAACAGAGAGACAGAAGAGCGGGCCAACATCTACTTAAACACAAGTGCAGCAGCAATACCAAACAAAACTAAAAGGTCAGTGCCAAACTGGGTGAAATATTTATAAAAATGATAAAGTAAGGATTAATATTTTAGTAAAGAAGTTATACAAATCAGTAAGAAAAATAAGATCTCTGTTGACAATTTACAAGTGAAAAATTTTTTAACTTTTAATTTTGGGGTTACATTTTTGCTCTTCCATATATGCCCATGTTCCACTCACCCTTCCCCAAACCACATGTGCCATTACCCCATCTTTTCCAGTCCTTCCTCCATTCCCTAGCCCTTCCTCCCACAGATGAAATTCTAATGACTAATATATATTTGAAAAAAATACTGTTCGACCTACCTGTAAGCAGAAAGAGAATTGAGAACAGTGGTTTTTTTTTTTTTTTTCACCTATCAAATTTGCAAGTGAATAAAAGCTAATACCATGTGTAGAGTTTGAATATAGGGAGAAGGGCACCCCAATAGTGCTGATGACCATGTTAATGGCGATAGCATCTGGAATACATTTTGGAAGTGGGTCTAAAGAAGCTGAGAAATGTTCATTTTCTGTCCACTAATTTCACTTCTGAAAATCTATTCCAGGAATGGGCAGCGACGTAGGGAATTTCTCATGAAATCATCTTAAGCAACAAAAGTAGAACATACAAATTATATGCTATATAATCCCACTCATATTAAATTACATACTTATGCATAAATATTTTCTTTGAGCAATTTTGTTTTTTTTTTTTCCTTATGATGATTCTGATCATCATATTTTGTAATTCTTGTATTTTCTATAATGAACATTAAAAATATCAAGCGGCGGGGATGGGGGTGTGACCTTTTATGAAATGTGAAGTGATAAAACCAAATTCAGAAATTAACCTTGGTTATCATCTGGTGAAATCACTAGCACAACATGTCACTTTGCAAGATTCAGGAAATATATGTTGATGTGTGTACCAAAACTCCTCATTAGGTTGAGGACAGGGTCCCCAGGCCCCATGGCTGTGATTGGCCTGGCTCTTTACTGTGTAACACTGAGTACAGCCTGTCTGTTGGTTGGTATTTGTTTGTTATTCTACCCAATGGCATGGGAGGGGAGGGTCAAAGAGTTCTCTGAGGGTCTTTCTAGATCTCAGCTGAATTGGTAACTTGCTCTTGAAGAAGAAAACTTTGACTTGCCCTGGTCACAGAGCAGAGAGATAGTGAATGCTGGGATTTATAGGTTCAGGTTCCAGCTCTTCTCTCCTGAGAGACCATGCACAGGACCTTGCCACCTATTCCCGGTACCATACTGACCTGGTCAGTGTGGAAACAGGCCTTGGTCCTGTTTCCAGCCACCCTCTCTCCATGTCAGTCCCTGGGTCACTCAGTTGGGGGCTAGTTTGACTGCTCAGGCTTTCTTGATTCCTACCTAGTTAGTCTGCCCTAGAGGGGCAGGACTGGGGGATCCCTATGCTTTGGAACTGTTTAGTGGAAGCATGAGCTCAAAAATCATTAGGGAGCCCCATCTTCCCAAGGAGAGGTTATCTCCTCTCTCTGGGGCCCGTTTCAGGACATTTATGAGGTGGTTTGGTTCTAAGGACAGAGTGACTGTCTGAAGGCCATCAAGGCCACTTCCTGGTGTGGGGGAGCCCCACCCCCCCTCCCACCACACTCCCTGTGGGCTGACAGGAGTCCACTCCCACAGCATCAGCCACATCAGTTTCTCGGCTTTGATAAGGCCTCTGTGTTCAACGGCCCTTCTCAGAACTTGACGGTTTGCAATAAAGCTGCCCCGGCACCTCAGAAACTGTTGCTTTCTGTATGAACAGTGCTGAGTCCTCCCTCCCAACCTAACTTGTCAAGGGTGGGACTGGAGGCCCAACAGCTTCCTGGGCTCCGGATAAGGTATTTATTTCCTTCGCACCCAGGTATAAACTGAATTTCAGACTTTCAGGAAAGAGGGCAAGTGAGACTCAGCCTTTGTCAGCTACTCTAGAGCCCCTGGCTGAGCTGTGATTCTGGGTTGCGATGCCTGATGGGCCAGGGCAGAGGCAAGCTGCCCCAAGCACAGTGGAGCTGGTAGGGAAAGGTATCTCTATGACTCCCCCTTCCTGACATGGCCCTGTTTCTTTTTAGCAACCAACAGATGCATGGAAAGACGGCTTCTCTGAAGAGCCCTGTGTCCTGCACAGAGAAACTAGACAGGGTTCAAGAGTTCCCGGACTCCAGGTGAGGCTCCCCCTAGTCAAAAATACATGCAGATTGGGGGGTTGGGAGCCATCAGGAGGTGACCTGTTAAAAGGGGATTTTTTTTTTAAAGATTTATTTATTTGATTGATTGATTGATTTATACAAGCCCCGGGTACAGTCAGAAGCGTGGGAGGGTGAGAGAATTCACCAGAGCCAGAGTGGGGAGCAGAGCAGGCAGAAGGACCGAAGTACACTGCTGAGGGGAGCAGTGGGCGGCAGGAGAGGTCTGCGCGCCATGTGGGACCCTCCTCTGGTGGCCGGGGAACAGCTGGGGATCGAACCGGCGCTGTAGAGGCTGCAGGCAGCTTCACAACCTAGCGCTCAACCGCTGCGCCACCGGGGAGGCCCTAAAAAGGGATCTTAAGGCTGAGTCAGGATCCCCTAGTGGGTCTGTTAGGTTGCGCATGGCTGCACAGGGCCTCTTCCTCCCACTAGCAGGACTGTCCTAGGGCACTGGGACCTAGCCGAGTCCCAGGCTTCTCAGATTACCACCCTCTTCCCTGCCCACCTGTCCTCAGGCCAGCCTGGCTAGGGCAGCCATTTGCATTTCAGCTCCTCCTCCTCTCCCCTAGCCTTGATAACCTCTGTCACATCAGGTGAGTCTGCCGGGAAGAGGCTGCAAAGGAAGGCAATCCTTTGGGGATCATGGCCCATGGCCAGACCCCAAAGCCGTGAGTCTGACACCTCCATCCCACACCCTGCCTCTACCCTCACCCCCCACCCCCCAGGTCCCAACCTGTACCTCCTATTCATTTATTCTTGGGTCTGTGCCTCTGCCTATCCTTTGGCCAGAGAAATGGAAGAGGGTTTTAGACACCCGGACGTGGGCAGCTCCTAACCGTATCGCTCATACTGAGCAGAACTCCTGGGGGCCGCTGCTCATAGCTGTCCCAGGAAGACGGCTCTTAACTATTACTCCCTGCATCCAGGCTCGCCCTCCCCTGGGACAAGCTATGTGCTGTGGTGATGATCCTTTGTCATGACCCCCTAGTCTCCATTCTGCCCCAAGCTTCTAACTTGAAGCCAGGGCAGAATTGGCACTGAGGAGCCATGGGCAGGACCCGAGGTTTCCTTGTCTCTGGAATGGAATGTCTCCTTTGCAGTCTGCCCTGGTCAGAAGGCTTGAAGAGCGAAGAGATAAAGTGCAGCCGCGAAGGGGTAAGTGTGTGGAAGCTGACTCTCACTGCCTGCCAAGGGAGGGCCTTGGGCTGCTTGAATTCAGTGGCTATTGACTCCTTAGCCACCAGATCTATCACCAGGAAACCTAAGTGGATGTCCCCTCCTGGGTGGTGTGGAGTGGTGAGTCCCCCTCCAGTCAGAGGCTGCCTGTCAAGACCTAGTGTCACCAGGAGATGAGCTGGGCTGGGAACTCAGTCCTCCACACCCACTACTTGCTTATATTAGCTCTCTGCTAAGCCCCCAGGGCCCACCACTGCATTATTTCCTGGTGGTGGGAGCTGGGCGGACTTTGGTGGTCCATCTCCTAGGACTTCTCAGCTACAGCCCTTATGTTTGCAGACTCTACAGAGTAAATACAACCAGCAATACCACAAGCTGTTTAAGGACATCCCTTTGGAGGAGGTGGTTCTCAAAGGTGAGCTGTCTCCCTGGTGTGGCTGGACAGGTGCCTCCAGTGCCTGAGGAGGCCCAAGTCCTCTCCTCCAGAGCCTCTAAAGCACAATTTAGATATGGAACTGGCTGTCCTTTGACAATAGTTGGTCCTTTTTTCTTAAAAAGTGTGAGAACACAGGGCTGGTGGGAGATGTGAAATTGAATTTATGAAATTTTACTTGAGGAAATTAGGCTTCCAAATCTTATTTCTGTTCTGCTTTTATTAGTGACTATTCTTTCCTGCTTAGGCCTGCTGTCACTGAGCCTGTGGTAGCAATTACACAATCAAGGCCTTCTCTCCAGGGCAGGGCAGGGCAGAGCAGGGTAGGGTGAGGTAAGGGATTCTGCCTGAAGGAACCAGGCAGAATCCGGGCTTAGGGAGGCAGAGCCTACCCAGACACTTTGGGGCCTGGGTAGAAAGAGAAGAAACATCTAGCAGTCAGGTGGGGTGGGATAAGGGCAGTCAGGATTTTTGGGGTTTTGGGGGAAGGGATTATTTGGGACCTGGAATTGGGAAGGGAATTCTGAGGATGAGAGTCCTTGAGACTTGACTCTGGATTTCTGAGTGTGAGGACGTAGGCCCTGGGGTTTCTTCACTGACCTTGCTCATGGCAGTCTTCTCTCCTGTGACTTCCCAGTGTGTTCCTGTGCTCTCCAGAGAGATCTTCTTCTTCACGGTCGGCTCTATATCTCCAAGAACTGGCTCTGCTTCCATGCCAGCCTCTTTGGCAAGGATATCAAGGTAGTAATGAGTAAGGGTTGCCAGTGAGACCCTATCCTTAGCCTGGGGAAGACAGGGCCCACCCAACCCCAAACTTGTGGAACTGCCCATGCCTCTGCATGGTGGCCCTTGGTGAAACCTTTCACTAGTTGGATGAACTACTGCAAGGCATGACATCAGGTGTGCAGGGAAGTAGCCCTGCTCTTCCAAAGTAGCCTGCTCTTCCAGGCGCCCATCTAGACCCCACATTTGGCCGAGCTGATCTCGACAGTTCACAGTTAGACCATTTTGCCTATGGGTGTCTCCAAAATGTCTTCAGAAATCAAGTGGGATGTCACACTTAGTGGGAGCCATTAGTGTGGCCAGGAGATGGCTCAGGGAACTTATTTCTAGAGTATGGGATTCACCAGAGGAAAGATCCCTGACCTCCTGGTTAACTGGGTACAAGCCTGGCTCGGCCTGTGCTGCCAACACAGGAGGGGTGAGGGGGGGTTATGGAAAAGGAGCTGCATGAGAAGGTGGAAGGTTCAGATACTCTCCTACATGGGACCAGTCTTCTTGGTGCCTGAGCTTGGCTCACTGCCAGCGGGGGCTGGAGCCCTGCAGGAACCATGTTGTTGAGGAACCTCTTCTCCATAGGTGGTCATCCCTGTGCTATCTGTGCAAATGATCAAAAAACACAAGATGGCGCGGCTCCTTCCCAATGGCCTGGCCATCACCACCAACACCAGCCAGAAGGTCAGTGAGTCCATGGGCCAGGGTGTCCTTGTCAGTCTCCCCCTTCCAGTCCCAGGAGTCCACAGCCTGACTCTGTTTTCTTTCCATGTCCCAGTATGTCTTTGTGTCACTGCTCTCCCGGGACAGTGTTTATGACATCCTGAGGAATGTCTGCACCCACCTACAGGTATGGGGCTCAGGGCAGGAGGGGTTGGGGAGGCTGCTCACATCTGGAGTGAAGTCTTGAGACAAGGCCCATCTCTTCAGTACAGGGCCCAGGGAGAGCCTGGGGAGTAAGAGGCTCAGATTTGGTGTATCGCACGCAGTCCTTGGACTGTGTGTCTATGCTTGTGAGCATGTGTCTTTGAGGCCAATGGCCCTTCTGTGCCCCACATATATGCTTGCACTTGTGTACAGACAAGTGCAGGGCTCCAGTCCCCGCTGGCAGTGTACAGACAGGGTACATGGCTGCTCCCCAATATGCCTACAACTCCCTCTGGTCTCCAGTGAGGAAGGGAGAAGGACAGAAGCATGGGGAGCACATTGCTTTGCACATGCCCCTCTGCTCCAATGTTAACTTGGGGAATCCCTGCAACTTTGGGAGCTAGGGTCCATCTGACCTGAAGTGGCTTATTTGGAGGTCAAGCTCTCCTGGAGTGTGTGTACACCTCCCCAGTGCTTGGTTTTGGCTGTTCCAGATGGTCATGTGATCCTTGTTCCCTTTCGTCCTCAGCCTTCCAGCAAGAAGAGTCTGAGTGTAAGAGAATTTCCAGAGGAACCTGAGTGCGCGTCTCTGGTGAGAGCTGAGGTTGGAGCAGAAGTTTCTGGCCTGACATCATATATGGCTCTGAGACTTCAGGGCCTCCCTGGCAGGGCTCTGAGAGGCAGAACTGGGGCATCAGGCACAAGAGCCACTGGCTATGCTGTGCTGGGGGACCCCTAGACCTGCCGCTGTCCAAACCATGCAGAAACCCTGGGTCCTGGACAGATTTGCTGACTTTCTGAGCACAATAGATGTCCAGCCCCCAGAACACTGCCCAGGTTGGATTCCATACTTGTGTGGTCAGAACCAGGGACTCATCCCCTTTCTTTCCTCAGTTGAGTCAGGGGGGCCTTCAAGGGGCTAGAAATGTCCCTGTGGAAGAACTTAAAGGCTATCATTGTCAAACGCACACAGTCATTCTAAATTTGTTGAGGTCCCTGTGGTTTCCTTTGGCCATCTGAGCTCTGAATAGGCACGGCTGAAGTTTCTAGAATAGAGAAGGGGGTGGAAATGGCCCCAGGGTGTTTGACTCCTCCTTCCACAGCTGTTAAGCATCTAGCCAAGCATACCATATGCACAATACCACACAGGGGACAGAAGGTAATGTTCCCATTTTTGTTGAAATGGACTCTGGGTGCCTCTTGCTAAGGTTAATATCGTGTTTAGGGTTAGAGCCCAGATGAGAAAGAGTCATGATTTATCTCATCTAAGATTCATTATCCTGAGCTTTTTTGGTCTTAGCCAATCTGAGCACATTCCTGTTGGCTCCTGCCAGACTAGCCCTGGGTCTGGCTCATATTTCTACACTAGCAGTCTTCAAAGACATGGTTTCCTGGAAGAGTGACCGTTCACAGCAAGGGAGCAGATAGGAAAGACATGCGGTTGCTATGGCAATGGTACCTGCCCGCCTGGGTACCTGCTTCCATGCCTGGTAGGCATCCATAGTGGTAATAAAACTTTGGTGTGAAGCCCAAAGGGCTTCAAGCCCTTGGCAATTGATCCCAAGGGCCATGATGAGACAGCTTCTCCTGTCTTCTCTGCAGGAAGCCTTGATCCCAGAGATGAAGTGGAGAAAAGTATGCCCTTCCTCCAGGTCCCTGTCCCTCCCAGACAGCATCCCTTGCATCTCTCGGGCAGCCATGGACTCCACAGACAGCTTCTTCCCCTCCAGGAAACCTGCAGGGACTGGTAAGTTCCAGGGGCTTTTCCAGCACAACTGTGCACAAAGACCAAGCTTTCCCTTCTCCCATTTGCGCTAAAAAGGAATGTTACAGTAGAGCTTCTGAGAGCTGTTTATTTCTCCAAGTCTATAAGGGAAAGCCAAGAAATCCCAAGAATGGCGGGGGGGTTTGGGGATGGCCATGCTGGGCTGGGGTCCTGCTTGCCCCCAGGAAGATGCCTAACTGCTCTCCTATGCAGAGAATGCTGTCTGTGAGGAGAAGAAGCTGGAGGAGGAGCTCAAGAGCGATGGGGACTTGAGGCTCTGGGATTACCGGCTCCTTAAGGTCTTCTTCGTGCTGTAGGTGACCGTATCGGGGGTGGGGGGCAGGCCCATCCTGGTGTCTGGGTGTTTGGAGCAGGGTCCTTGGTGTCATGGGGAGGACACTTTCCAGAGCCAGGGGATGGTTCTAAGTCAACTGCTCCTGGGAGTGTCTGGAGGCCTCATGGCAGACCCTCTATAGCGAGACAAATTGTCTCCAGTTTTTAATCCTTACAACCCTGTAGTTCTGGGTTACGATGATGAGGGGCAGGATGTGAAACTCTTGAAAAAAGAAGTTGCACAGAACTGGGGAGGGGGAGAGCTAGCAAAATTTGATGGGAGCATCAGATAATTGGGGAGAAATACTAACCAGGGAAGACCATGACCTCCCCACTGCCTGACCTTAGGCAGTTTCTAGAACCTAGATTTGTCTGTAACTCTGCCTCGAGACCAGTGGAGTCATGAGCATGGCAGGACGTTGCATGGACAGCACCCCTGGCTTCCCCTCGCCTTCCCTCATCAGCTTCCTCTAGCTCTGCCGGCAGCGTTTTGCCTCCTCAGCCTTAGCACTTGCTGGTGAAATGGTCCTACTGATTTAAGGGACAATCTCAGTGGCCTCCCTGAGGAGGTACGGTGCCATGGTGACTGGTCAGGGGGAAAGTGGGCTCAGCTGAAAGACCCAGAACTCCTGCTAGGCTTTGAGGATGAGTCTTTTGGGGTGGGTGAATATCAGGGCCCCCAAGTGGCTTCTGGGAAGCAAGATGCGCAGGCTTGAACATGGCTGCAGGGAAACAGGTTCTTTAATTTCTCCAATTGCAGGGGTAGCTTAGTTCCCACACCTACTCTTGGTGAGCCTCTGAAAATGTCCTTTTTGTAGAAGAGAGATTCAACTCCTTTTACCCCCTTTTTCTCCAGGATCTGCTTCTTGGTCTTGTCCTCATCCTATCTGGCATTCCGCATCTCCCAACTGGAACAGCAGCTATGCTCCCTGACTTGGGATGGCTCAGTCCCTGGGCACAGGTGATGCCCTTTCTCTTCCTAGTCCTCTGGGATTGAGGGTTAAGGACAAGAGCCAAAGCCTACGGGCAGGCTGCTTGTTATCCTGGCTGAACTTGGCCCTGCCCTTGAACTGGTTTTATGGGAGGGTTGGCTGGGCAGTGTACACATCCTGCCGGACCTATGCTCAGAGGGTTGGAGGGAGAGAAAGTCTCCACAGACCCATCTGTCTGCTTTCTCTGATCTGGGCATCTCTCTTGTGTGCAGGTAACAGCTACCTTCTCCTTCAAGAAGAATGCTTGGGTGCTAAGGTTCCCTTGTTTCAGGCTCCTGCTATGCTGGGACTGAGTGTGAAGGAAAATATTTCAGATCCCTCCTCTTCCCCGCAACTGTCTTCTTCTTCCTCCAGTGAGTGACCCCAAGTACCTGTTTATAAAGTTGCTGTAATTTTTGGACTCAAGACAAAAAGCCAGATTTTTGGAACCAACTGAGGAATCTGTACACTAAGCTTCAGCAACCATTTAAATGAAAAGGCAATTCTGCCTTGGAAACAGTTTCGGCACACCCCCTGGGGACAAAGGCCAAGTGCTGATGCCACTGCAGGGATGGGGCAGAAGCCAGAACACCAGCTACCGCCAGCGTGGGCTTTGTGCTCTCAAAACTTACTGTGCTTTCCTGGCTCCCTGAGACTCCCTGCTGGGGGCCCATGGGTTTCTCTGCAGGGAGCAGGGCATCTCACAGGCCAAGGGCAGGCTGGAGGGAGGTGCAGGGCAAAGGCAGAGAGCAGGGCTTGTGGCCAGGACGGCAGTGGGAGGATTGTGCTGCTCTTCATCGAGGCCGTTCTGACCCCTCATGAGGAGGCAGGCTGAAACTTGGAGGACATTCTTCGCAGCAGGGGGCTGCGCAGCAGAGATTTCAATGAAGTAGAACAGAGGTCGGGAATTCTGTGTCCTCAGCTGCCACTTCCTGGTGAGACAGGTGGAGCAGGGCTTTTGATCCCTGTGGTCACAGACCTGGTACCAGGCCTTCCCCTGCTGTGCCCAAACGTTTCCAATGGCCCCAGCCCTGGAAGTGGGTGTGGGGATGGCTGAAGCGGTGAAAGCTTTGAGGTCTGGCTTTGTATTCCCTGCCTGAGTGCCCAGCTCTCAGGCACAGGAACAGCAGGGAGGCTCGGCTAGCAGGTGGCATGATGGTGCTGGGCCAATACAGGACAGAGCTCACTCAGGTCACCTGCAGTCAGCATGTTTCTGGCCACGGAGGAGGGTTTCCTGTCCATGAACTCTGTTTTTCATGAATAAGCTGGAGATGGAGGTGGAGGTGTTCAAGATGGGCCTGATACAGAGCAAGGACCAGGCCAAGGAGTCTGTCTGACAACTTTGGGGACAAGAGAGGTAGGGAGTGGGAAGGGTAGACAGGGTGGTGACTTTACCTTCTCTGTTAAGGCATTCTCTATTCTAAAAAGCATCTGTGCCCCTGAACTGTGCCCTGCTCTCCCTAGCACTCCCATCTACTAAGACAGGACCTTTGATGGTTCTGGAAGGGCCTTAGTGGGGAGCCCAGAGATAGCAGGAAAAGTCACTGCTGCGGGCAGGGAGCTGGTATCAGAAATAGCCTCTGTTTTCCCTTCTTCAGACCCTGAGAGGTTAACTGGAGAGAAATTCAGGTGGAAATGATTTATTCCAGAGCCATGATGATCTGTTCTGTTTATGACAAACCCAACGAAGGTAACAATTCCCTAAGCTCAGACTGGAGGTCTCCACATCCTCTCCCAGGATCTAGGGTTAAGTATAGAATCTGGCCTTGTGGCTCTCTTGCAACAAATCTGTCTGTCTCAGGTGAAACTTTCCATTCTCTACAGTGCCACATTGGATGAATGCCCCTTCTTTTTTTTTTTTTTTCTGGAACCAGTCCCCTTCATCACTCCTTTCCATCATATTTTCAGGGAAATAATCCTACTTGCCCCAGCACCTCCCATCCCTGGTTCTTGCTGAAGGCTGCGGAGACCAGGTCCACTTCAAGCCTCTCTTGGTCAGAGACCATGAGAGGTGCCAAGTCATGAGTGACTGTGCCAAGATGCTGGTGAGCCTGGTCTCCAGCCATGCCCCAGCCTCAGTACTGTAAGAGGTCTGCTGCGGGGTAAGTGGCATTGGAGGTCCTCCTGGGTCCAGAGTTCAGAGTAGTATGGATGTGCCTGATATTCTCTAGAGCCCCCTCTCTCGATTTCTCCCTTTTGTTCCCCCAGCCTGGTCCTTTGGGGGCAGTGTACCATCTGTTGTGCTCATTGATAAACTCATTGTATATTTATACAGACTTGCTTGCACTGGCCGATGCGCCTCTAATTCCCTGAGAGTTTGGTTCAACTAGCTTTGAGTTGTTCCACTATGGCATTAGCCTTTGAAAATGTTTTAAAATAAAAATCTGATTTTTCTAATGGCCTGTGGTATGGAGAGTTCATTTTTATCTTTTGACTACTCACAAAAGGTACTCTGACTGACATGTCTGGCACCAAGGAGACTGATGGGACCCAAGTGATTCCCAGATCCCTATATCAAAGGACATTAGCTGAACTAACTCATACTTCATGTATGGGGGGGAGTGGGGAATGGCTCTAGTAAAGCCTCTGCCTCTGCTGTGTGGACACTGAGGGTGCTTCTTTATTTCTTCTGGACAATTGCACAGCAAGGTCCCTGGTTCCAATAGTACTGTGCTGCAGATTCAGGAATTAAAGTCTGGAACTCAAAGCCAGAAAACTCCTGCAACCGTTTCTATGACATCAAGCCTAGATTAGGGATGTCCAGTCCCAATCTAGGTCACAGCGCTATTCGTTCTCTCTAGGGTGCCCCTCCAGTAGTGAGTCATTCATTCTATAAATGCTGAGCTGACTATGGGCCAGATATTATGCTAGGCACCGGGGATATAGCAGTGAACATGTCAGGCAATATCTCTGTGTCCCATGGCGCTTAACATTTCATGTAAACTTAAGTTCCAACTAAATATGTAAACAGGGCCTCCCTGGTGGCTCAAGGGGTCAAGTGTGAGCACTATGAAGCTATCCTCAGCCACTGCAGCACCGCGTTCCATCCCCAGCCAGGGAGGTGATCCACAGGGAGCAGCAGATCTCTCCTGACTCACCTGCTGCTCCCCTCAGCAGTGTGTTTCAGTAAATCTGCCTGTTCTCCCCACTCTGTCTCTGGTGAATCCTCTCACCACCCCACCCCACACCTCTGACCTGCACCCCGGGTATTGTATGCATAAATAAATACATCTTAAAAAAATAAATACATAAACAAACAAGGTGATTGCAGATTGTGACTAAGTTCCACAAAGGAAAGAAGTAATGATATGAGGTAGAGTAAATGGGAAGACAGCTTTGGACGGGTGGTGGTCAGAATAGGTTCTTTAAGGTGACATTTACGCTGACGCTTAAAGAAGGAGGAGTCAGTCTTGCAAGGAGCTCAGAATGGAGCATTCCTGGCAGATGGGTCAGCAACCCAAAAGGTAGGAAAGAGCGAATATATGCCTGAAGAGCAGACGCTGCGTGACTCTATGATACTACTTAGGTAAGGGAGTAACGAAAGAACAGGACGTTGGAGCAATCAACTCAGCAATAGCCCACCCACCTCAGGTACTTAAAAGGGTAAGGGACCCGGGCCTCCCCGGTGGCTCAGTAGTTGAGCGCTGGGCTGCGAAGCTGTTGGCAGCCTGTGCAGTGCTGGTTCCATCCCCGGCTGCTCCCCGGCCACCGGAGGAGGGTCCCACATGGCACACAGACCTCTCCTGCCGCCTGCTGCTCCCCTCAGCAGTGTATTTCTTCATCAGTCTGCCTGTTCTGTTCCCCGCTCTGGCTCTGGTGACTTCTTTCACCCTCCCGTGCTTCTGACTGTACCCAGTGCTTGTATAAATAAATAAAATAAAATCTTAAAAAAAAAAAAAAAGGTAAAGGACCCAAGTAGACATTCTCCAAAGAAAATACACAAATGGACAGCAAGCACATGAAAAGGTGTTGAACATCTTTAATCATAAGGGAAATGCAAATGAAAACCACAACTGATTCACTTACAGGTAGAAAAATAGAGAAGCCAAATAAAGGGTCAGGAAAAAGAAAACTTGCAAGCTGACCATAGATCTGAGGCATCCAGCAGGGGAGAGGGAAGGGTCACAACAGGGGAGGGAAGAGCACGAGGGATTTGGAGATGCATCAAGGATGCTATAGTGGTGGGTACTACACCTGAGGGGAGAAATCAAATACTGTCCAAAAATTAACAATGATGTAAGAAAACACACACACACACACACACACACGTACCACTTCATACTCATTAAGATGGCTACTACCAAAGAAACAAAAGCCAAATATTGGCAAGGCTGTGGAGAAAGTGGAATCCTGTGCACTTTTGATGGGACTGTAAAATGGTGCAGCCACTATGGAAAACACTATATCAGTCCTTAAAAAATTAGAAATAGAATTACCAAATGACCTAGTAATTTCACTTGTGGGTATTCACCCAAATGAACTGAAAGCAGGAAATTAAAGAGCTATTTGTCCACCCTTGTTCAAAGCTGCATTATTCACAATAACTGAAAGTGGAAGCAACTCATGTCAATTGAGGTGAATGAATAAACAAATGTAACACACACGAATATTATTCAACCTTAAAAAGGAAAGAAATTCTGACACATGTACAATATGAATGAATCTTGAGGACAATGCTAAGTGAAATAAGTTAGTCACAGACAAGTACTCTATGGCTCATTTATTTGAAGCACACAGGGTAGTCAAATCCATAAGAAGGGAATAGTTGTTGCCAATGGTGGGGGAAAGTAAATGGGAAGTTAGTGCTAGTGGGTATAGCGTTTCCGTTTCACAAGATGATAAGAATCCCGGATGGTGGTGATTGCACAACAAAGTAAATTTGCTTCACGTTATGGAACTATATACTCACAGATAGTTGAGAGGATACATTTTATGTGTGTTTAATCACAATTTTAAAAAATTCTCAGAAGTTTGGCAAGGTAGGCAGAAGAGAGTTTGGATTTTATACAAACCTTGGGTACTGCAGCTAGATCTAAAAATTGGGGGCTGGTAGGATGAGTGGTTGCTGAAACCAAGTGCTTTCCTTTGCTAGAGGAAATAAACATGTGTATGTAATATGTGGGAAAATAAGGCTGATAATCTACCCATGATATCATATTCTCTTTTTTGCTATTCCCCGGTACTGGTATGTACAAACAATAGCATCACAGGGCATGTAGTAATATATTTTTAAGTTAAACTGAGCAAGCTTTGTAAGGGAGAAACAGCTGCTTTCTTTACATTTAGAGAAATAGAGGGAAAAATATATTATGCAGGACTCCCAGTTTTGCAACAGGGAGCTCAGCTGAATGAGAAGGGTCATGGGGAGAGCAGGAGTGCTAGTGAAAAGGGTATTCAGGAGTAAGGGGGCTCCAGGGGAGCATCATCCCACCAGCCAGAAACTGCTTTCAAGCCTGCTCCCCCGGCCCCAGCTAGCCAACTCTGGCCCTCCTGCCTGGTAGCCATTGCATCAGGACACCTATTGAGCTGGGCAAGGTCATGTGGCTTCGCTCTCCTAGTCGCTAAGCTACAGAAACAGGGTATCTGAGGACAGAGAAATTTCTCAGGTGGGACAGGACAGGCCAGATTTCTAGATGGGTCTGAGGGGAAGTAATGTCAACTGGGCCACTAGGTGGCAGCAGAGTCCAGCAGGAAGAACTGGAGTGAGGCGCGCAACAGACTTCATTCTTTGTCACAGAGAAGTCCACCACCTCACACCCCCACCCCCACGTCCCCTGGCTGAGTGGAGGGGCCCAGGCCATCAAGTTCAATGGTGGAAGGGAATCTCCAGCAGGTTCCTGCAGTCTTTTTTGCCTGCTTTGTCTCTTTTGGCCCTTGTTCTTCTCCCCTTTCCTCTTCTTTCATACCCTGGAGAAAGGCCCAAGGTGATCCTGAAAGGGAAGCTATTCCAGGTGCTCTCCAGACCTTCTGAGGACCAGGCCATAGGAAGGCAGAACTGGAAGGTATGCAGAAAAAGGGTCAGGGGTTAAGGGTGTAGCCAGGGGATGGGAGCTCAGTTTCTCTTCCAAGGGTACAGAAATCCTGGCCTTTCCTCCTGACCTGCCCTCATTGTAGCATCTTCTCTTACTCCGGGCAAGGAATTACAGAAACTGGCTCCTGTAAGTGAGATTTCAGGAGTTAACACTCTTGCCCTCCTCTCTCCTTCATTTAGAGAGCCGGGGCCGGGCCCCAGAGCAGAGCGGATTCAGATTTAATGGTTACATGTACTTTGTCTAATGAGAGTGACAGTGAGGGAGGCGTTTAAACCTCTGAAATGATAACCAGAGAAGCCTGAGTTCATCCCTCTTCGTGCCTGACCTCCGCAAAGCCAAAGAGCACCTGGCGCCCAGCGGGCCCTGCTGGCTGGGCCGCCTTCCCTTGGCAGGCTCCTTGCCTTCCGGGAATGTGTTCCTTCTTGTTTGCCACTCAGTGCCTGGCCCAAAGCCAAACCTGAGCTGCTCGGAATACCATGCCCCACTCACTTCTCTCGCAGGATCTGAGATGAGGCTCTTCCGCTTGGGGAACGGCCCGGGCCTCCCTGCGGCCTCATCCCATTTGAGCCGACTTCAGGGACGTTAGCCCCTCCAGTGTCTGAGCGCACAAGCACTTAGGGAAGGACACAATAAAGGAAGAGTGTGAAACATTGCTGTCTAAAATCCTGTTGGCAGTTTTCTAACTTGGACCAGAGTGGGCAAAGCATTACTCACAAGCTGTTCATTAACTTGTTAAATGCAGAAAGGTTGACCGAGGCACCACTTGGGGAAAACGTGACACCCATGGGTCTGGGGTTCACTCTAGCATGAAGGCGTGTTGACTGGTGTAGGATTTCTTATGGAAGTTTTTTATTGCTGTTAGTTCCAAATAGCAGTCTAGTCTGAATCCATGCTCTCCACAATATGTACCTACATTTAAAAGTTTTATTAAACACTTTCTATGGGTTCCTGATTGTGTGTTTCTGTGGATAACAATGATACTAGAATTTCCTGAGCATTTAACTGGGCACTAGGTCCTGAAACAGGTGCTTTCTACACTCATCTCATGTGACACTAGAAGCAGGAGACTCTCAATGAAACAATACAGTTTTCACACAGTCTGGTGTGGAAACTGACACGATAAGCTAGAAATACAATATGGATCCCTGCAGGGCATTTACTGAGGCCAGATAGAGAGAGAGAAGAGCTACATCGCAGCATAAGACATGATAAGTACAGGAGGGAGTGGTACGCTCTGACTCATGATGAGGGGTGTGCAGCTTGTGTGGGCTTCAAA